TCTGAAATCCACCACATGTTCTCCTCCCAAGTCAGGTGTCCGGGCCTAGGGCTCTGTCTGCAGAGAGTGGTGCCTTTGGGCTGGCACTGGTCTTGCATGTATTCTCTCCTGAAAGCTGATGACCTTGGGTCCCAGGCACAGTGCAGGCCCTGGACTACTGCTCTCGACTTCCTGAGTCAGAGAAAGCCCTGCTGGGCCTCCCAAAGCCTCATCCTGATACCCGAGTCAGCTTCTCCCTTCTTTCTGAGCCACCCTCAGACAAGAAGCCCCTCTCTGCTGGTGTGGAGACCAGAAACTGTAGAAATAAAAGATACAAGACACAGAAAAGAGAGTTTGGGCCCAACGGTCCAGTGCAGACCAAAGCGTGGGGTCCAGCAGTGGACCTGAGTATCGGCAGACTCTGACTTTTATTGAGTACAAAGCTGGGGGCAGGGTAGGTGGGCACTTTCCTAGCGCTGGTGCTGCCGCACAGCCGAGGTGTCCTCCAGCAGCCCTTACACAGGCTTAAAGCATCTTGTCTTAGGGTTATTCCTTTCACAATGTCACCCCAGGTGCACACTTTGTGACCTGAGAGGCATTAGTAAAAGAACTAAGATCACCTATGAATAACTAAGATCACCTATGAATAACTAAAAATCATATATGAATAACTACTGTGGTTATCTCTAGTTATTTTCTTCTTCATTATTTATATGGAATTAGGCTGAGGTTTCTGACTCCTGTCTCAGCACTTATGGGGGCTGTCCCCTACAAAGTGCAATGGTATGATCTCGGCTCACCCAACCTCCACCTCCCAGGTTCAAGAGATTCTCCTGTCTCAGCCTCCTGAGTAGCTGGGATTACAGGCTTCTGCCACTACGCTCGGCTAATTTTTTTTAGTAGAGATGGGGTTTCACCATGTTGGCCAGGTTGGTCTCAAACTCCTGACCTCAGGTGATTCAGCCACCTCGGCCTCCCAAAGTGCTGAGATTATAGACATGAGCAACTGCACCCTGCTGATACATAGGTTTTTAAATTTAGTCTTACACTATACCAAAACATACAGCTCACGGTAGCCTTGACCTCCCAGGCTCAAGTGACCCTCCCACCTCAGCTTCCGGAGCTGGGACCACAGGTGTGTGGCACCACACCCAGGTAATTTTTTAAATTTTTGTACAGATAGGGCCTTACTATGTGGCCCGGGGTGGTCTTGAACTCCTGGACTCAAGAAGTTCTCCTGCCTCCCAAAGTGCTGGAATTATAGGCATGAACCACACCACGCTCGGATGGTAATTTGATTCTTTTTTTTTTTTTGAGACAGAGTCTCACTCTGTCACCCAGGCTGGAGTGCAGTGGTTTGATCACTGCAACCTCTGCCTCCTGGGTTCAAGCAACTCCTCAGCCTCCTGAGTAGCTGGGTTGACTGGTGCCCGCCACCACACCTGGCTAATTTTTGTATTTTTAGTAGAGACGGGGTTTCACCCTCTTGGCCAGGCTGGTCTTGAACTTCTGACCTCGTGATCCACCCGCCTCAGCCTCCCAAAGTGCTGAGATTTATAGGTGTGAGCCACTGAGCCCGGCCAGTATTTTGATTCTTAAATTACAGATGAGGAAACTGAGGGGCTGGGGACAGCTGGGACACAATCCTGTCTGAATTGTGCTGGTCTTCCAGCTTGGTAGGGGTGGAACGGAGGCAGCCTGGGCTGGGGACCTGAAAGCAGAAGAGGGGATGAAGGGAACTGGGTAAGCTCATGGACCACAGACCCACGTGGGAGCCATACCCTGGCAGGAGAGGGGATTGTGAAAGAGAAGGCAGGTGGGGTTCAAGACAAAGATGGGAAAAGTGGGGGCAGGGAGAAAGAGATCCTCCAGGCCTTGCAGAAGTAGGAGTTGGGCAGGTAGAGGATAGATGGGGTGGGAGAGAGGTGGCTGCCCAACAGGGATCACCCTGCAGGGGAGGTCCCAGGCAGAAGTGATGCAACTACTTGGAGTGGGGGTGGCCCACCCAATACTTGGGCTAAAGAGAAGGGAGGGGAACTAGCTGGGTGATCTGTGCATTCAGCCACCCCTAGGGGCTGTCCAAGGGCACTTGTCCTCAGGAGGGGAGTTGGAAGGGAGAGAAGGGAGGGGGAGAGGAAGGGAAGGGGAGAGGGAGGAAGGGAAGGAGAGTAGGGAAGGGGAGAGGAAGAGAGGGAGGGAGGGTGGAGGATGGGGTAGGGAGGCAGGCAGGCTGGCCACAGTTGCCTGTGTGTGTTTCTGTGTGTGTGTGCATGCACACGTTTGCATGTGCGTTTGGGCAACATCTTTTTCTCCTTGATCCTCTAAGCTCCTGTGAGGCCTGCTGGGCCAGGAAGTCTCCATGTGGGGTATGGGGTTGGGATCCCCAAGCTTGCCTAACTCCTGGATCTGCTGCTTCCTGCCCGCATCATCTTGAGAAGTTCCTCCACCTCAGCGTCCTCCTCTCTAAAACAGGCAGGATAAACCATAGCTCAGGAGATTACTATCCACGAAAGTAATTTATGAACCAAAAGGCTCTGAACTGATATCATTCTCCTTATGAGAGTCAGCAGCCCTAGATGTTGTCCACAGGCACTGGGGGTGGTCAGGAGGGCTGGAAAGGCCACGGGGAGGGGTAGGAGCGGTGAAGCCTTCAGGCGTGCGGTGGCTGAGAGAGGCAGTGTGAATGCCCCAAGCAGGCCTATGGAGTGGGGGGGGTGGGGGACGGACTCTGGGTTGTCCCATGCCAGACAGTCCCCAACACGCCTGTGTATTCCAGGCTGCAGGGCCCAGCTGGGACCCTTCCTCACCCCTTAGGCTCACTTACTCTAGAAGCACTGAGCATTTCTGTGCCGTTCTGCACTGGGTTCTTCATATTCACATACAATTGATCTGCCGGATTATCCCACGATGTGGTTTGCAGTTATTCTTTTTTTTCCTTTTTTTTGAGTCAGAGTTTCACTTTTGCTGCCCAGGCTGAAGTGGAGTGACCAAATCTTGGCTCACTGCAACCTCCGTTTCCCGGCTTCCAGAGATTCTCCTGTCTCAGCCTGTGGAGTAGCTGGGACTACAGGCGCCTGCCACCATGCCCGGCTAATTTTTTTATTTTTAGTAGAGATGGGCTTTCACCATGTTGGCCAGGCTGGTTTCAAACTCCTGACCTCAGGTGATACACCCGCCTCAGCCTCCCAAAGTGCTGGGATTATAGGCTTGAGCCACCAAGCCTGCCATCCTCATTTTTTATTTTATTTTATTTTTTTGAGACAGAGTTTTGCCCTTGTTACCCAGGCTGGAGTGCAATGGTACAATCTTGGCTCACTGCAACCTCCGCCTCCCAAGTAGCTGGGACTACAGGCACGAACCACCACGCCCAGCTAACTTTTGTATTTTTAGTAGAGATGGGGTTTCACCATGTTGGCCAGGATGGTCTCGATCTCTTGACCTCATGATCCACCTGCCTGGGATTACAGGTGTGAGCCACTGTGCCTGGCCTATCCTCATTTTTATATCTGTGTAAACTGAGCCCCAGAGAAAGGAAGTGACTTGCCTAAGGCAGCACAACTAAGAAGCAGCAGAGGCAGGATTTGAACGCAGGTAGGCAGGGCACCAATCTCAGCCCCTAGCCCCTTTAGCACAGAGTGAGGGTCCCCTGCCTTCTACTCCACCCCACCCTCCCAGCCTCAAGAGCACATTCACAAGTCCAGGGAGAGACCCTCTTCTGTTCTGTGAGGCCCATATCAACTAGTCATGGGGTGGAGAGCCCAGCTCCCTGGTGGAATCACATCAGGTCATAGTGACAGAGTCCTGGCTCCCCAGGGACTGGGTCTCAGCCACAGCTCTAGGGGCTGGGATAGCACTCTACCCCACTGAACCTGCAGCACAGGGCCAGCCGGTCACGGAGCCCCTCAAATCCACTGGGGTGCTGCGGGTCAGAGAGCTTGCAGGAGTGGATGAGAGGTGGCTCAGCCTTGGGTAGGCCCTGGCTGAGAAATAACGAGGCTGTTCATGAGTGCAGATATGGCTCTGGTCGGCTGGGCCCCAGGGAGCCTGAGCAGGCCTCGCGTGAACCCAGATCTACTTCTTGGGTTTGTCAGCATTCCCTACCACTGCCCTCACCTCCTCAGCCCAGCCGAGCAGTGGGCCCGATCTCTCAAGCTGCCCTGAATGCCTTCTCAGGCCTCTTGTCTTCAGGAGTTGCATGCTGTCTGGAAACAAACAGGGACCATGATACCAGGCGGGGCTAGGCTGCCACTCCTGCCCTCCCCCTGGCTGCAGTCAGATGTCAGCACAGCGCTGGGGGTATGGGTCACAGGAAGCCCCTGTGGACTTCTGGAAAGTTCCGCTCAGAAGACACATCACAGCCAAGGAGGACTGGGCAGGGGTGGCAGGTGTCCCTCTGATTGCCTGTTACAGATGGGGAGCTGTGGAGGTTTCTGTGTCCCTTCCTTTTAATTGAACAACCCCAGCTGGGCACCTGTAATCTCAACACTTTGGGAGGCCAAGGGGGGCGGGTGGATCACCTGAGGTTAGGAGTTCGAGGCCAGCCTGACCAACATGGTGAAACCCTGTCTCTATTAAAAATACAAAAAAATTAGCTGGGCATGGTGGTGCGCGCCTGTAATTCCAGCTACTTGGGAGGCTGAGACAGGAGAATTGCTTGAATCCGGGAGGCAGAGGTTGCAGTGAGCCGAGATTGCGCCACTGCACTCCAGCCTGGGAGACAGAGCAAGACTCCCTCTCAAAAAGACAAAAAAAAACTTGAACAACCCCTTTCCAGGTGTTTTGTCCCCATTAGGAGTGTCCTGTTGTGTTCCCTGGCTGCTACCTCAGAATTAGGTTAGGAATGGGGACAGAACTGGGACTGGGAGTTGGGATTAGAATGGACTAGGATTGGGACGGAGATGGGCTAGTCTGGGCTGGACACAGCTGGGGGTGGGGGTGGCGGGCTTGAAAGCAGAGGGTTTTATTGGAAGGACTGCCCCCTCTGCATTGAGCCTGTCAACCTGAATGAGATTCAGGCAATATGATTAAATATTGAGTTTATTGAAGTGCAAAGTTTGAGGATGGCCACTTGGGAGGACATAGGCTGCAAAAACAAATGGGGTCCAAGGTGCTCTGAAGTGGAGAGATTTGAGAGTCATTTATATAGGCAAGGATGTAAACAGAACTCATCATTTTTCATACATAGTTACAGCAATTGACTGGTTATGGGCAGTGTTTCTTTTTTGGGAAAGGTATATTTGACATTCCACATTAAGGATGTAATAGTCAAGGGGTCTTTTATCTCAGTTAAGGGGTCTTCTATCTTCGGGCCATCTGGTCTAAGCCAGGAAGAAGGAAGGAAATTCGTTTATAACAAAAGGTCAGTAATTAAGAGGTCAAGCTCTGTGACTCAGCCTCCAAAGTCAACCTTCTTCAGAGCCTAGGAACCTTTATTTATTTTTGTTCTTGTTTTTTTGTTGTTGTTGTTGTTTTGGAGACGGGGTCTTGCTCTGTCTCCCAGGCCTGGGTACAGTGGCACAGCTCACTAAAACAACCTCCTGGGCTGGGCTCAAGCAATCCTCCCATCTCAGCTTCCTGAGTAGCTGGAACTACAGGTGTGCACAAGCATGCCTGGTGGGTTTTTTTTTTTTGGTAGAGACAGGGTCTCACTATGTAGTACAGGCTGGTCTCAAACTCCTGGGCTTGAGCACTCCTCCGGCTTTGGTCTCCCAAAGTGCTAGGATTACAGGTGTGAGCCACCGCACCTGGCCCCTAATAACTTTTAGAAGCCCCAAACAGATGGTCCAGTTCCTTTCACCAGCCTTCGGTGGAGTGGCAGACTGAGGAGGTGGTTTTGGCTTTCTGGGCTTCACAGAACTTCTTTCCAGAGAAGGCAAAGCAGACTTCAGCCCTGCATCTTCTCAGAGTCCTGCCTGCTTCCGAGGAATTGGCCTGAGAAGGAGAAACACAGGTTCGCTGAGGCTCACTGCATGGCGGGCCTGATTCCGGGGCATTAGAACATTGGGCAGCTGATCCCATCACAAACCTGGGGGCACAATTCATCATCCCACAGTCAAAGACTCTGGAGCTCAGAGAGGTTAAGAAGCTTGCTCCGAGTTACTCGTCGAAGAGTGGCAAGTTGGGATCTGGGCCTGGATTAGGTGGCTGGTGCTGGTTTTGTCCCTAAGAAGGCGAAACTCATTCAAGCAAGGAGACACTAATGGAGTGTCAGCACCAGGAAAGTGACGCAGCAGTTTCCGAGCAATGGGACTTTTCCGGAAAGCACTAGAGGCTCATTTTGGGGTCAAGCGCTGTTCCAGCCAAGCCTCCTCCTCAGCTGCAGGGCATCTGCCTGGCTCCCACGACTGGGGCTCTAATCTCATGCCTGGCCTTGGCTCAGGGTCAGCCCCAGGATGCCTCTCAGTCCAGGGGCTGGGGTCAAGGCTGACTTCTGGCCTGTCTGGGTTACCTGCACCTCTCACCCTGCCCTGTTCACACTGGTTCTCTGGGCCTGATGTGTTCCCTCCACAGAGCCCAAGCAATACACTGTGGGCTCCCACTCCCCAACAAGACCCCTCTCCCTGGATCTGTGCTGCTCTGTGTCTGGGACAGAGGCAACAGGGGACTTCCCTGGAATGCCGGTCTTCAGCTCTGTGCCGCCGCTGCTGGCTTCCCACAGAGTAGCCCCGCTGCTCACCACACCAGCTGCCTCCTGCCATCATTTCCAGAAGCTGGGGGCTTTGACCATTCTTGTTGCAACATTACAGATAGGGAATCTGGCCGGGTGCGGTGGCTCACGCCTGTAATCCCAGCACTTTGGGAGGCCAAGGTGGGCAGATCACCTGAGGTCGGGAGTTCAAGACCAATCTGACCAACATGGTGAAACCCGGTCTCTACTAAAAATACAAAATTAGCCAGGCGTGGTGTTGCATACCTGTAATCCCAGCTACTCAGGAGGCTGAGGCAGGGGAATAGCTTTAACCTGGGAGGCGGAGTTTGCAGTAAGCTGAGATTGTGCCATTGCACTCCAGCCTGGGCAACGTGAGTGAAACTCCGTCTCAAAACAAAAACAAAAACAAAACAGGCTGGGCATGGTGGCTCACGCCTGTAATCCAAGCACTTTGGAGGCCAAGGTGGGCTGATCACCTAAGGTATGGAGTTCAAGACCAGCCTGACCAACATGGTGAAACCCTGTCTTTATGAACAACAAAAACAAAAACAAAAATACCGGGAATCTGAGCTCAGCAAGAGGAAGTCTCAGCCTCCTCTTATCCCAGAGTCACTCTGCTGTGCCACGGTGCCACACGCCCCCTGGGAGCACCTCACCTCTCCTCTCCTTTCTTGGCAGAAGGCTCTTTCTGACCCCACCACATAGGCTGCCTCCTACCCCTTGCTCTCAGCTCCAGCAGCCTTTCCAGCCATAATCTATCCACTTGCAACCTGACCATAGGCTGGGTTGGGGGCATTCTATTCTCTTCAAGAGCTGAGGGACTGTGAGTGAAAGGGATGCCAGGGACTGAGGGGTCATCAGGAGGTGACGCTGAAGAGAGCCAGGAGGCCCCGATGGAGGTCTGAAGGGAGAAACAGAGCTTCTTTCTAAATCCCTGGCTGTGCCAAGCCACCCATGGGGACTTTCCCTTACTGACCTCACCCCAACTGGATTTTGGCATTCTCCTGGCTTCCCCAGCCGGGCAGGGTGCCTGACTAGGCAGAGGTGACTGAGGCTGATAACAGGAGCCCAGGGACAGCCGACACAGCCTTGTCCTGGGTGGGGGACCCTCTTCTCCTTACCCAATTCCCTGGCGGATTCTTTGGTCTCCCTGCCCTATGCTGGGGTGCAGGGAGGCCACCGGGGGGCCTTGCCAGCCTGGACTTGCCCCAGCTCTGGGCCCCTGAGGTCTTGGAGACCTCCTGAAACTCTCCCCAGGGGAGGTGTTCATGGGCAGACAGGCTCCTTGAGGTGCTAATTTCTGAGCTAATTGGAGCCTGATCTACAGATGGCTTGGTTGACAGGAGGTGGGGACTGCTGGAGCAGAGGGGGCTGCGGAATAGGGTCTGGAGGGAGGACAAGGGAGCCCAGAGCTGATGCAGCGTGGGCTGTGTTTGTTCAGGAATTGTCAATGTATTAGTAATGATCAGCTCTTTTTTTTTTTTTTTTTTTTGAGATGGAGTTTCGCTTCGCTCTTGTTACCCAGGCTGGAGTGCAGTGGTGCAATCTTGGCTCACCGCAACCTCCACTTCCTGGGTTCAAGCAACTCTCCTGCCTCAGCCTCCGTAGTGGCTGGGACTACAGGCGCACACCACCATGCCCAGCTAATGTTTTTGTATTTTTAGTAGAGACGGGGTTTCACCATGTTGACCAGGATGGTCTCCATCTCTTGACCTCGTGATCCACCTGCCTCGGCCTCCCAAAGTGATTGGATTATAGGTGTGAGCCTCCGCGCCCGGCCTATGATCAGCTCTTTGAAATGCATTCTCCTCTCCTCCATATCTCTCCTGGCTGTGGTTTTTTCTCTGGGAAAAGATTGGTGTTCTGAAGCTACTGCTTGTTGGGAGGGGTTCACCGAGCATTTGCAGGCAGAGTGTTCTGCTCTGGGGAGTGATTTGAGGAGGAGGGAGGCCCACAGCCTGTCCTGGGGATTCCAGGCCTGCTGCAGTCGGCAGACATGACACCGGGTGGTCTTGGAGATGGCCTGTCACAACAGAGTGACACTACTGAGCTGGGTCACCTTGGAGGGTTCTGGGGCACACCCCACACCTGGTTTTTTGGACCTTGACTTGCTCCTGCCTCTCTGTGAATAGCTGGTAAGGGGCCAGTGACTCTAGAGGCCTCATGAATTGGAGATGAGACTGTCTGCTCCCTGGAATGAGGGCCGGGGGTGGGGGGTCTAGGGAGTCCACCTTGCTGCATCCAAAAAGGAAAGGCCTGGTACCTTCTCCCCTCCCCCAGACTCCCTTCTTCACAGCCCACCCTTCTGGCACAAGTCATTCTCAGCACTCTGGACCCAGGGAAGACTTTCGCCATGTTGGGTGAGACCCCAGCTCTCAGCAGGGTAGAGTGTGGCTGTCACTCACCCATCTCTAGGCCCACCGGCTCCCCAGGGCTCCTGGCACATTCCACACTCTCTCTGGTCTCCAGACCTTCATCTGGCTGCCTCCAGCTCTGCCCGCTGGGCTGCTTTCTGCCTAGTCAAGTCCTCTCCACTCCACAGGCCAGCTCCGGGTCCATCTGCATTGCAGGCTGCACAGCAGCCTCCTACCCGGCCTCCTGCAGCATCCTGCCCCTCCACACCCCACACGTGGCCCAGAACCCAGATGGTTGGTTATGAAAGCTGGGAGGCTAACCCCGTACCTGCTCTGCAAGCTTGTTCTCCTCTCTCCCAGAATGCTCTGAGAACTAAATCAGATGATGGAGAGGAGCAGACCGTGGCAGTAACTGTGACAATTGCTCCAATTGTAAGAGTGTCTATTTCTGAGCCAAGCGTGGAGCTATGTACTTCTGCACAGGTCTCCTCATAGCAACCCTCCAGGGCTGCAAGTTTTACCATCCCCACTTCTCAATGAGGAAACTGAGGCTCCAAGAGGCCAAGCAACTCACCCAGAGTCACACAGTTCCTAAGTGACAGTCTGGGGACTCAAAAGTCACTATCTCCCACAATGGGAAGGGGGTTGTTGTTATTTTTGCCAGCCTGTTTCCTTCTCCCTCCCTCCCTGCCTGCCACCATCTGCCTGGTGAGTTGCATCACTCCTAGGGCCCAGGGGTCCAATTAGGGGACTCCCCCCAGGGAAGCTGCCTGAGGCAATCCCTGCCCCAAGGGGGCCTCCCTGAGCTAAAGTTTTAATTAGCCATCACTGCTCTTCCTGGAACTCTGACCTGCCCATGGCTCTACCATTCCAGGCTGGTCTTACATCAGGAGGCAGGACTGGCGTTCAACCCAGCTGCACAGCAGAGGCTGCCTTGGCAGGGCAGGGCAATGTGGCCCGGCTTCCCTCTCACACAGCTCTCTGCATCCACCTCAGCATGACCTCATTTAATCCAGTAAATGGATTACTAAAATAAATGGACTAAATGACTTAATCCATTAAATGGATTAAATACAGCCAGGCTCGGTGGCTCACGCATGTAATCCCAGCACTTTGGGAGGCCGAGGCGGGTGGATCATCCGGTCAAGAGATCGAGACTATCCTGGTCAACATGGTGAAACCCCGTCTCTACTAAAAATACAAAAAATTAGCTGGGCATGGTGGTGCGTGCCTGTAATCCCAGCTACACAGGAGGCTGAGGCAGGAGAATTGCCTGAACCCAGGAGGCGGAGGTTGCGGTGAGCCGAGATTGCGCCATTACACTCCAGCCTGGGTAACAAGAGCGAAACTCGTCTCAAAATAATAATAATAATAAATAGCCGGGCGCGGTGGCTCACGCCTATAATCCCAGCACTTTGGGAGGCCGAGGTGGGTGGATCACTAGGTCAAGAGATTGAGACCATCCTGGTCAACAAGGTGAAACCCTGTCTCTACTAAAAATACAAAAATTAGCTGGGCATGGTGGTGCGTGCCTGTAGTCCCAGCTACTCGGGAGGCTGAGGCAGGAGAATTGCTTGAACCCAGGAGGCGGAGGTTGCAGTGAGCCGAGATCGTGCCATTGCACTCCAGCCTGGGTAACAACAGCGAAACTCTGTCTCAAAAAATAAATAAATAAATAAATAAATGGATTAAATACATGAAATGAGCTAATATTTAATTTAACAGGCACTCCTACCCTTTACTATGTACTGGGCACTGCTTAATAATTTTAAGGAGTGCCTGTTAAATTAAAAAAACAAGTCAGCAGGGATGAGGGGGAGCAAGGTACCAGGTAGGGGCCCAGAGCTATTCATGGACATGAAGGGGGCACATCCCTGGGTCACTTGGCAATGGTGGGTGGCCCATGGGTGGGCTGTCAGCAGCTGTAATCCCGCCCCCTGCAATGTGGGAAGCTTGGGCGTGGAGGGAGGGAATGGATGGGTATGTGCCAGCCACTGCACTGAGCATTCATGCCCTGCAAGCTGTCTTATGAGACGGGGTTACCATCCCATTCTCCAGAGGAGGTGGCCGGAGTTCACAGAAGCAATCAACACATCCACAGCTATCTCAGTGACTCATGCCAGTAATCCTAGCGCTTTGGGAGGTCAAGGCAGGAGGTTTGCTTGAGGCCAGGAATTTGAGACCAGCCTGGCCAACATGGTGAAATCCCCCCCTACAAAAAAATACAAAAATTAGTGGGCGTCGTGGATGCACACCTGTAGTTCCAGCTACTTGGGAGGCTGAGGCAGGAGGATCGCTTCGGCCCAGGAGGTTGAGGTTTCAGTGAACCGAGATCACACCATTGCACTCCGACCTGAGCGATAAAGCCAGACTCCATCTCAAAAAAACAAAACAACACAAAAAAAGTCCAAGAAAGCACAACCACGAGAGGCAGGGCAGGGTTTATTTATTATCATTATTATTTTTAGTTTTCTTTTTGTTTGTTTGTTTTTGTTTAGGGCAGGATTTAGATCCAAAGCCTAAGCCCTGCACACTGGAAAATCTGTCTCCTTGTGCCCCTTCCCCCTACTCAGGACACAGAGTGGTGGGCAAGAAAGCCACAGGGCCGCACCCCCAGACGCAAAAGGGAGAAGCATGCCCTTCTCTGCTCCCACTCAGCTTTCCCGCAACCTCCAGGAAACCTGAGGGTTCTAAGTGTGGCTGTCTGTGTTGAGGACCCAAAACCCCTTTCTTGGGGGTGGGCTGTGAGTCTAAGGCGAGATGAGGACAGGGAATTTCTGAAGCACTGCCCCCTACTGACTCTGGGGAGCAGCAAGCCTCCTGACCGTGACCTTTGTCTCCCACCCTGCTTGGCTGCTCGCCTCCCGCCTCAGCAGCAGCGCTGCTGTGCCAGCCCTGAGCCTGAGCCAAGCCCTCCTTGGACGCGGTTGCCAGGTAACCAGCCCTAAGAGACGGAAACCCAGCCGCCCCAGCCAGCCTTAGAAAGGCTTCCACGATAGTCCACCTGGCCTGCCCACAGTAGGAGGGGAGGGTGCCCCAGCACTGGGGGGGGGCATGGCAGGGCAAGGAGGAGTTGGGTTGGCAGCCCCCCAAAACTGGGTTGTTGGAGAAAGGTGATTCCCGATGAAGGCCAAGGCGAGGGGCAGGCACTGGGATAGAGTCAGGATTGTGGCTAGGGCCTGCCCAGGCCCCAGTCACCACCCTGGAAACAGCTGTGATGGCTGTACCCAGGGTGCTGAGACCAGGGGGAGGGGATCCCCAGAGAGAGGCCCTGGACTGGGAGAGAAGGTGATGAGGGCGGCTGGCAGGAGGAACAGCTTCTATAGCACAGGGAAATGCATCAGCCCCTCCTATCTTTGCAGGGGTCCCCCTCCTCTTCTCCTCACATCCCTACTCCAGGCTGATGGCCTCCAAGGAGGGGGCTGCTGGCAGCATGAGGCAGGCAGGTGGAGCTCGGCCAGGTGTTTTTCCATCGTAGGTCTGAGTGGGGAGGAGAGGAGGGAGAGGCAGTGGCAGAACCAGGAGGAGGCCTGGGTTACGGACTGGACAGGCCTTCAGGAGACCTGGGTTCTGGAGCTGCCAGCCAGAGACCCCAGGCAGGTAACTGCCCCTCTCTGCATCTCAATTGCCCCATGTTGAAATCGGGGCTGGAAACAGGGTATTCCTGGTGTCATAGGTCCTCAGAGGCTGAGAGGAGGAGTCTAGAGGCTTTAAGGAAGCTTTGGACAGCAGAGGCTCCTTCAGGCTCTCATCTCTGGGACTGGGTAGGCTTTTCTGCCTGCCTTCCCTTTCGGATGTGCACAGTCCTCCGTCACCATTAAACCTTCACTCCATAACCACAGTCTGACTCAGCCCTATGGTGGGCACTGAAGTCACAGCCCCAGGGCAGACACAGGCCCTGCCCTGGAGGAGGTTCCTCCCGGATCTAGGAGGGAAGCCAGGTTATAGCCAGGCAACTTCAGCACTGGGAGCTGAGGCTAGAATGGAGGTGAGTTCAGAATGCTCTGGGACCTCAAAGAGATGACCAAATCCAGCCTAGAGCTCAGGGAAGGCTTCCTGGAGGAGGGGTTCCAAGCTGAGGTTTTTTTGATAGGGACTGTGTAGGGTCTTGCTTTGTTGCCTAGCCTGAAGTGTAGTGGCCTGATCACAGCTTAGTCCAGCCTCAACCTCCTGGGCTCAAGTGATCCTCCCACCTCAGCTTCCTGAGTAGCTGTGACCACAGGTACATGCCCCCATGCCTGATCATTTTTAAAATTTGTCCTGCTCTGTTGCCCAGGCTAGTCTTGAACTCCAGCACTCAAGTGATCCTCCATCCTCTGCCTCCCAAAGTGTGGGAGGATTACAGGAATGAGCCACTGTGCTCAGCTTCTGAGCCGAGTCTGAAAGGCCAACAGGAATTAGCAAGGAAAGCCACACCAGCAGCCAGGGCAGAGGGAGAGCATATTCCAAAGTGTGTAGGTGTGACCTGAAAGGAACCTTGGCTGGCTGGGAGGCAATCAGGACAATCGGGAGACATGCAAAAGCCAGAGTGGGGAATTGGAACCTGAGGGCACCAAGGAGCCACAGGAGACTCCAAGCTGGGAGTGATGGGTCAGACACAGGCATTAGAAAGCTCTCTCTGGAGGTAGGAGGGGATATTTCCTGTGCCTCCAGCACCAAGCCTCCAATGACTGGGCTTCAGCACAGCCAAAGTGAGACGTCACGATACCACCCTCCCTGAGTCCAAGGTCCAGCAGTCCTGTTCCTGAGGCCTCTCCCATCGTGGCAGACCCACCTCCACACAAGCACCCATCTCACTGGAGGGCAGTGGTCTGTTTGAAGTCTGGGAGACAGCACTGGGACCCATCCTTTGCTGTACCCTCTATGCCAGCATAAAGCCTGGAGATCCTCAATATCTGAAGGAAGGAAGGATGGGAGGGAGAGAAGGAAAATCAGCCCACCCTGGCTCTTAATTAGAGAGTGCTCCCCTCCTCTGTAGGGGTCCCTAAATTTTTTTTTTTTGAGACAGTCTCACTCTGTCGCCCAGGCTGGAGTGCGGTGACATGATTTCGGCTCACTGTAACCTCTGCCTCCTGGGTTCAAGTGCCTCAGCCTCCTGAGCAGCTGGGATTACAGGCTCGTGTACCACGATGGGTAATTTTTGTATTTTTAGTAGAGATGCGGTTTCTCCATGTTGGCCAGGATGATCTCAAATCCTGACCTCAAGTGATCCATCTGTCTCAGCCTCCCAAACACCTGGGATTAAAGGCGTGAGCTGCTGCACTTGGCTGGGGTCCCTAAATTATTGTGCATGGTATTTTGTTGTTTTTGTTGTTTTCTAGC